TTTAAGATATTTTTCTTCTCTTTGTTTCAGACTAAAGAGTAACATACATGTTTTTTTGTCCATGGACAGCAGGAAATTAGTCCGCCTAGTAATTGTTTATGCTATTTTCAAAGTTTGCTTGAAAATTTTGCTGAACAAGGTAAACTGTCTTTTGTCCTTTCAAAAATGTTTTGAATATTTATATCATAGGCACAAGATAAAGGTCATGTTTATGTAGTGTTACTAAAAGAGAACAGCACAGTTTTTGATTGTTGTAACAAAGAAATAAAGATAGATTTTACAGACACCTGTAATGGGAGGAATGATTGAATTAAAGTTACTTGATGTAAGTGAAAAGTGAGTACATTGTTATATGCAATGAACTTTAGCAGTTGTTAAAAAATGTACTGTTTAGCATTGTGGTCATGCTTGAGCATTCTGTTTTTAATCACAAAATGCAGTTTATATCTTATAGAAGTTATTAATTCACTATTTTCATTTTTTTTCTGGAGTCACCATAGTGAAATTGAATTGAATTATAGTGGATGATGTTATTTGGAAATATTAAAATGTAAAGAATTAGAATATTTAAACACTTACATCAAGTTACAATGACAATCATAACATTTAATTTTATGTAGAAATTGTCATTGATACTGTAATGTAACATCTGCAGTTGTTATTATTATTATTTTCTTCTGTTTTGTTTTCTTTAGACAACAGAGTAACATATATGTTTGTTGCACAAGCCCTTCTTAATGAAGACAGCAGGAAATTAGTCCGCCTAGTAATTGTTTATGCTCTTTTCAAAGTTTGCTGGAGAATTTCACTTATAAGGTAAAACGAGTTTTGGCCTTTCAAAAAATGTTTTGAATTTTTAAGTGATGGGAATTTGATGTATGCTGTTAACATGGAAAAATTAATGCTGTGTCTTTCTGAAAAAAAAGTGGAGCAAATTTTCAAAATGATCTTTGCAATGCCTGTAAATGTTAGCATTGATCTCATTTTGTTTTGTTTGGGTTCAAATGTGGCATTAGGAATTATGCAATTGCTAGTAAGTTCCAGTCTTACAGGGGGAGGCAAAAGAAAATGTTTCGATTTCCAAACATACTTTTATACGATCAAAAATAACAAATGACCTATTTTAATTTTAGCATATTGTTGTTTCTAACTTATTCCCACTAGAGAAAGTGTTGCGCTTTAACACCAGATGTTTCTCTTTTGTTACAAAAATACATTTTTGTTGCTCAATTCCAGCAAGTTTATGCAGACTACCCATCCAGTTACATATTGAACGTCTAAGAATAAACAAGGGAGGTAATATAATCTTTCTGCTTGTTTGCATTATACAGTTTTAAAAATATTAACAGTAATTTTAAGCATGTTTATAGTTATGTTTTGTTTTTCAAGAAAGGTAAACTCTAGCAATATTCAAATGCTGTTGATGTCTTACAGCCCAAGAATATATTTGGGTAATATCCAACTAGATGTGGTGATATATTTTTTTTACAGGTGAGAGAACCAGAAAATTAGATTGCCTAGTAACTAAATTTTATGGTAAGCACATTGGAGGAAGGTTGAAATAAAAAAATTGAATTGCTTATTAAGGATTTAAAATTGGAAGTGTCCTAAATTTTAATTTTACACATATACTTAGCTAGCCTTAAAGCTTGATTTGAATGGATCTGAAGTAATGAAAAAGAGTTTATAGGATTTTAATTGACCATTTCCAGATGTCTGGAAGAGCTAGAGGACGTGCACGTGGAAGTGCTCGAAAAACTAATCTGGAGGTGTCTGGGCCATTGAGAAGACCAGGGGATGCTGGGCAACAAGCGCAGGTCTGTGGATGTCCCCAGTGATGTTGATTTGGTCTGCAAATTTATCTGATTTTATTTGTCCTTCATATGTCAGATCTTTCAATCAATACTAAAATGATACATTGGTGACCTAAATAATTTTATTGTGTGTGTGATGATGTGGCAGTGATGCTTCTGTGTGAAACTTAAAAAAGTTATACATTCTAATCTTGGTAAGAATGGTGCAGAAAAGTATTTTCTGATTCATCAGTAAAAATGACTTGTGTTAGTTGAAGACAAGGGTGATCTGTGCTAATTCTTTGTGAACATAAAAAAAGGAATAAGAATACACAATAAATAACAAAACTTTTTTCAGGGGCCTCAGTTGCAGACCTCCCCAGAAAACCCTGTTGTTCCAAGTGGTAGAGCAAGATTTCGGCAGGGTGCAGGAAGGGGGACTCCCACCCCAGGGTCAGCAGCCCCAGGGAGTGGAGACACTTGGTCTCAGAGGCCTTCCTCTGGCTATGGAAGGGGAGGGCAGCCTGGTCCAGAAACTGGCTATGGAAGGGGAGCACAGCATGGTCCAGAAACTGGCTACAGAAGGGGAGCACAGCCTGGTCCAGGGAGTCGAGGAGCATTGGTGCCAAGCTGGTCCAATGTAGCTGGGGGTGCCAGACCAAAAACTGGCTTTACTCGCTGTAAGTTAAGATTTTATCTAATGTAGATGTTTCAATTTTTACTGAACAACCAGTAAGTTCTTGCAATGAACATATAGACATTATGTAATTTTTGTGTACTGTTAAGTATGACATGGTTGCCTTTCACAGAATTTGAGAGAGGTTCACTTTTCTCTAAAAGGCAACTTTGCTTAAAAATAAGTAATTACAATCTTGGTAGTAAATTCTTGCTTTGGATAAAATATTGGTACACAAGACTATTTAGATTTAATGAAGATATGCAATATTGCCTGCAGATCAGTTTGTTTGTGAACAGGCCATTAGAAAATATTCCTTCTCTTCTTCAGGATTAAATGTTTATATACAAATTCAAGTTGGAAGTAGTGTGATTGAATAAGTAAAAATTGTTAAGCCTCAAATATAAAATTGGTTTTAAAAAGATGGTGTATTGACCACTGTTTCCAGCCAAATGATCTTGTTTTGCAGCTGCTAATGGAGGTCATCAAGCAGGCGGAGGAGAGAGAACTCTCACTCTCCTCACCAACTATTTCAAGATTACAAATCACCAAGAACAGCATGTCTATCTTTACCATATGAGCTTTGAACCGGAAATAGATGAAAACCGTCGTCTTATGTACGGACTTTTGTCCAACCTTCGGGAGTCTGTTCTGAGGGATGTGCCTTATGAAGCATTGGGGAACACCTTGCTGACTATGAGAGAGTTGGGGGAACAGAAGGTAAAATGGCTGTTTGATAAAACACACTACCTACATTAATGAATATATTATTGAAGTTTTGAAAAAATGTCATTTGTGTGAAGTGCTTGCTTCGAAACCAGAAATGCATGTCTGTTTGTCTTCCAGCACTTCATTTGTTTTACTGGTCTGTAACTGTCACAGTTATTGTTAAAGAAATAAGTGGGCATCAAATTGGTGCAGTCAGATTTTTTTATGTAATACATGTATAATAATGATATTTATGTATTCATCATCATCATCATCATCATTCAGAGCCTAAAGTGTTCCACTATTGGAGAAAGGCCTCAGCATGCTTCTTCCAGTGTATTCTGTCTTGGGCTTCACTCATCCAGTTTGTACCATTCTGTCAGCCTTACTCTCCATCTGTCATCTTTAATTCTATTGACATGTCCTGCCCATCACTATTTCATTTCTTGAATTGTAACCAGCACATATTTCACCTTGGTCTGTTCTCTAAATTTATCCACTTAACGGTCTTCCAATCTCTTACCCTGATGTTCAACATCTTCCAATCTTTCTCTGTGCTTCTTGTAGCTTTTGCCACATGGGTGCATTCATTGTCCATGTCTCTGAACCATAGGTGACAGGTGGCAGTACACATGCATTGAACATGTACAGGTGTAACAAAATAGTCAAATTGGTATCATTCATTTTTGATCATGTAGGAGCCTCACGTGGTGGAGTCTCGTCAGGGTGAACGGTACATGATCAGGTTTAAACTGGGCAAAGAAATCCACCGTGAGGACTATGAGTACACCTACCTGTACAGCCTAATTATCAGAAGGTACAGTAAAGTCTGTATCTTGGAACATTGATATTCAGGCCTTGCTTTAAATAATTCTTATGTTGGAGATATATGTGAGGAATAAATTGTTGAATTGAATTGAGATATTGAAAAATTATGCAAGTGAGTTAATAGCAATGGTTTATTTGTGCTTTTAATTTAATGTAATGACTGGTATGTTTTTTGATATAATTAAAAATGTCAATCCTAATTTTATTACCCAAAGATCACTTGAAATGATGGATCTTCTGAAGCTACAGAGAGATGCCTTCTACAATCTCAATGAAACAAAGTATGTCCCAGATCTTCAGGGGTGAGTTTTTTATTCCTTTTTTTTTCTTTTTGAAAAAATCAAGAATTTTGTGTTTTTCTGCTTCTCGGGTGTATAATCAAAGAATTAGTTGATTGCTCATTAAATTTACTGCATTACCTGCATTAATAGGTCAGCATATTTAAAGTTAAAGAAATCTTAAAAAGACAATTTGTAAAACAATATCTTTGACTTAAAACTATTAACAATGATATTGATGCGTGGATTATTTCAGCATTATCTTGAAGTTATCCCCTGGCTATCTGGTCTCCACTATGGCGTGTGAAATGGGTGTGGCTCTCAATGTACAGCTGCACTACAAAGTGCTGCGTGAAGACACTGTACTAGATGTGATAGCACGATACTTATCAACAGGCGCCAGAGAAGGAGACAAGAATAAAGTGGAGGAGCTGGTCAGAAATAAGATTGTCATGACCAAGTAAGAAATAATTGAAAAATTCACATCATGGGAATCATATGTTGGTTAGTGTGAGTGCATGTGTGTGTGTGTGTGTGTGTGTGTGTGTGTGTGTGTGTGTGTGTGTGTGTGTGTGTGTGTGTGTGTGTGTTATAATTTTTTTCTGCTGCTTTTTTGTTGCTAACAACAATTTAGGGAAACGGGTAATTATCTCAGTTTTGATGATGACTCGTTTAGTCATCATCAAGACTAAGGTAATTACCTGTTCACCTTCACCTGAACAGGTAATTCAGTTGTGACCAAGTCTGTCAAAATAAACAGACGAAACGGTCAACAGGTAAATCAAATATCTGGATTTATCATAAATGAAAACTTTTTACATATCATGTACATATTTATGGTTGTTACATAAATATACATGGTGTAAAACATTCTGCTTGTGAAAGATAAATTCAGTGGTATTTATTGGATATTTTCAGCTATGGCAAGAACAGAACATACACAGTGCTGGGTGTTTGCTATGACCCGCCACTGTACCAACGTACATTTCAAACTAAATCGGGAGAAGTGAGCTTTTTAGATTATTACAAAAAGGTAAAGATTAATAATGGAAATGATCAACAGATACTCAACAATTTGATATCCGCATGCATTTAATTGAGTACTGTTACTGACTTTTCGTAATTTTCTTTTGGTTGAAAGTGACATACATGTCAACTAGCTTTCAATTTTAGCATTCTTGTGAATTGACATCATTTAGAAGTTTTTGAAATCAATGTTTTTGAAGATTGTCTTGCAATTCTTAAAACTGTGATATTTCTTTAGGCTTATGACATAGACATCAAGGACGGGATGCAACCTTTGCTTCGAGTGAAAGTTAAGAAGAATGAAAAACCAGCCCTTCTGGTTCCCGAGCTGTGTTCTTTAACAGGTAGATTTTTGTTTGATAACCTCCACTAAAGAAGTAATATTTTCACTCCTGTTTATCTGTCAATGCATCTCTAGCCTATACTATTGTCACTCAACAAGTCATGGATGAATTTTGATGAAATTTTCAGGATAGGTAAAAATGGCTTAAGTTAATAGTGATTATATTTTGGTCATGGTTCTTTAATTTTTTAAATGATGAATTATTAATTGATTGTTTGCCTTGGCAGGGACCTAGAATGCTTTTCTAATTTCAAGTGGGTTCATTTCATTTGGATATAAGTGAAGAACTTCATCAACATATTACAAATAACATATAGATTAAAAGTAGTTAAGGTAAACTGTTTTTGTTATTAGGTATCCCAGCAGATGTCCGTTCAAACTTCTATCAGATGCGTGCGCTCACTAATGCACAGAAGATGACTCCCCGGGAACAAGTTGGCAGGCTGAGCAACTTTATACAGGCTTTCAGAGGGTAAGGGATTTATTTGAAGAACATGGTGAATTATTTGAAGTGACATATACGGTATACCTGTTCACACTAATTCAGTCATCCTTATGAGATTAACATATATTGCTACTTGTTCATTTTAGCAGTATATTTTAAGAAAAATACTTATGAATGTCTGTCTACAGTTATCTTGGGACCAAACAAACAAACCACTCTTTAATGTATTTCAGAAATGAGCAAGCAGTACAGCCTCTGAAGAGATGGGGCATTGAGGTGGCAGAAAATCTGCTTACAGTCCAGGCCCACACCCTGAACCCAGAGAGGATCATCTTTGCCAGAGACTGCTTCAACTATAAACCTTACCAAGCTAAGTGGCAGGAGGCTGTACATGGTAGCAACACTCTGTTGGAGTGTGTACCACTACACAGTTGGCTGGTGGTGTACCCAGAGGGACGAGGGAGGCCTATACCCTGTAAGGAGGCAGCACAGAACTTTGTTAGTGAACTTAAGCAGGTGGCGCCAGCTATGGGGATGAAAGTTGAGTGGCCAAGTGCGGTGTAAGTTGTCTCTTTTTATTAGTTTCTTTTTTTTTATTTTTAAACTTTATTGTAGAGATCTACCCATTCACAAAATTCTCTCTCTCTCTCTCTCTCTCTCTCTCTCTCTCTCTCTCTCTCATAACATAAAAAACTAAGAAAAAATATAATATAATTGTGTACTTTAATAGTGATTTATTATTTTTCTTTGACTTTGTTATTTATGTTTTATTTTTGAACATATAGTAGAATTAATTTAGGATTGACGTTAAAAAGATCTGGTAATATTAACAATAAGGATTTTTCAATTGATGATTAGACTCTCTCTCTCTCTCTCTCTCTCTCNGCATTTCCAAAGTTTAACTCTTATCAGCCTGACACCTTAGGGACTATTTCCAGACCCTATCACGCTAACTGTGGATCGATCTATCTCCATGGGAATTCTCGCTAAATTGCAATCAATGTAAGTGGCTTAGCTGTCTGTCACGTCTACTGAAACTGGCATGCCAGAATCCTAAGACTCTCAAGCTGAAAGCAATTTAGTGAGAAACCCCTTGGAGTTGGATTGATCCTGTTAGATTGATCTAGGTATGGGAACTCAGTCTAATGCTTGATACACATTTAACTTTCATCCTTATCCAATGTTATGCAGAATTAGAATTTGATGTTGGCTATGCAGTTACAGTAAGCATAATACATTAGTTCATCAGAATTGACAGTATCCTATTTCCAGTGTTTTTATTTTCTGGATTTTGTCTGTACATTTGACAGCTTTGCTGCCTTGTTATACAGGTCAATTCAAAGAGATCATCCAGAAGACTACATAAGGGCAATTCGTGAAAGGCTTGGCCAGGCACAGATGGTGGCATGTGTCCTTCCTCATGATAGGGACAAATACAGAATGCAGATACGCTATGGGGAAATAAAAAAGGAATGTATTAACCAGCTTGGAGGTGAGATACTACACTTGGCATCTTACTGTAAATTAATTCTTATTCAATTTTCTTTAGCAATGAATTGAGCTGAAGACATAAGGTTGTGCCATGCTCTACTCCCTTCAGAGATATCGAGCAAGAATGTGAAATAGAGCACAGCATGGCCTATTGTTATTTGCCCTGAAGTGTTGTTAAAGTTGGGTAATTCAGTCACTCATCATGAAGCTCCATGGATAAAAAAGAGGACATTATTGTCTCAGCCTCATTTGGCCAACTATTTCTTCATTTTGATATCAAGCTTTACTTCATGTATTGCATAGATGTATAGAGAAATTGAGATGACCACCGTTACTGCCTGTGAATGAATATTTCAGAAGAATGTTTATGTAAGTAAGAATGTACAACTCTATGAAACTGAATAATCCTTTCTTTCTTGTACAGGTGAAGATTTTAAATAGTATTTGTTTTATTCCAGTCCCTAGTCAACTGATGTTGAATGCAACTCTTAACAAGAGCAGTAACAAGTTCAAGAGCTGTGTGACTAACATCGCCATGCAGATGAATGTGAAACTTGGGGGTCAGCTGTGGAGGGTGGCTTTTCCTGTAAGTAACAGCGCCCTCTTTCTGTAAGCAATGTTACCCATAAGTTGTGTTGATGTTATTATTAGGTGCCACCTGTATCAGCAGACCTTCTGAATAGGTTTAGCAAATCACTTTAAAATTATATTTATAAGTATATAAATAATATTTTAGGAAGTGCTTAAAAAGGCAATGGTCATTGGTATAGATGTGTACCACCCAGGGAGGGAGAAATGTGCCTCGCCCAATGCTAAGTCTGTTGGCGCTGTCACATGCTCTCTTAATGCCAACTTCACTCGCTATTTCTCTGCATCAGTGGATCAGCTGCACAGAGGAACAGAGTTGTTTGACACCCTGCAACCTATTGTTGAACGTATGTATATTTTGATATCTAACATGTTCAGAGAAACTGTATGGCTTTTCATTTTTACAGTGCATGTATTTTGTTTTTTTTTTGTTTATAATGTCACACATTTACAGTGCTTGGTTATTTATTATTTCTACTTGCAGGTGCATTGAAAGAATTCCTAATGGAGAATAAATTTCTGCCTGACCCAATCCTTATCTTTCGTGATGGAGTTGGTGATGGCCAGATTCAAATAGTCAAAGACCATGAACTACCTCAGATAAAAGCAGCCATTAGAACAGCTGCTAACTACTCCCCAGTAGAGTACAGGTACACCTTGCTGCGATTTCTACCCACACCTGTATTGAATGAAAGAGTAGGAAAAGCTGAGAAAGCATACATTTAAAGTGGTGATAGTTGAACAATATTTGCTGATAAATGAGCAAAAAAATTTTTTAATTTGGTATAGGACCATAAATGATAATCATTTAACATGAATTTATTATATACCTAAATTTTCAGTCCTTTGCAAACTGATAGTGGTTCATGTAATGAAAATAGCCTTTACAACTTCACTTAAAAAGTTGCAGTTGCCCATATAGTACCACCAAGATAATCATCAACATCTAAGGAACATCCTTTGTGATCAATATTTTCAGACCTGCCATAGCTGAAGTGATTGTTCAGAAGAGAATTTGTAGCAGATTTTACACAGTTCAGACCCGAGAGAACCCACCCCCAGGGACAGTGGTGGACAGTGGAGTGACCAGACCGGTGGACCAGATAGACAATACGTACGTACAGCATCATCTGCTTCAAACTTCTTGCCATGTGTAGTAAAAATACAGAGTGTGTGCATAAATATGCTTGGTTGCAGTATTTTTTAATGGTTACCCTTTTCTCATGAGTTTTAGTTTAGAACTCAAATTTTAATGCTATATTTGCCTATTTTTATTTCATGGTTTAGCTATGATTTCTACCTTGTGAGTCAGTCCAGAAGAGACGTGACAGTGTCCCCCACCCACTACTATGTCATCTATGACACCACGGGGATGACACCAAGTCAGATGCAGGGGGTCACCTACAAGCTCACTCACTTGTATTACAACCTGGCAGTGAGTACTAGCTTTATTATTATACCCATGGAGAGTTCTGATATTATCCTAGTTGCTTTAAAGTTGAAACTTAAGATATCAATCTGAATCACTGTTATCACATAGAATCTTACAATACATCGTTACAAGAAGCATTCAACTTTTTACAAAGTATTATACAAAAGACCTCCAATGTATTGTCAGCACTCGTGTTAGAAGCAATATTGGTTGCACATATCCCAAGCACAGATACCATTTACCTGAAATAAAAAAAATTCAGTGCAAATCGTTTCATTTATCCACAGGGCACAGTCAGTGTTCCTAGCCCCTGCTACTATGCACATAAGCTGGCTTTCCTGTATGGTGAATACAACATCGAGACAAAGGCCCCCAAACTTGAGCTGCAGAAAAGCTTATATTATCTGTAAGCAGACCAACCTCTACCAGGGCCACAGAGATTTTATTCAATAGGTATTCACGGATGTTGCTTTGGTTATAATTGTGTCTATGTTTCTGTACTCCCAAGTATATTTGCACCTAGCTCTGGCCTCTGGTAGACGGTATAAGCAGACGAGGAAACAGAAACCTGGATCTTTGTTCTAAGCAGACCTTGAATGGACAGACTGGGCATTGAGATAATAGTTTGCATTATCTGTTAGAGGTACAAAAATGAGTTTGTTACTATCAAAATAATAATTAGATATCACACATTGTCTGTTCTTAAAGAGTATTACCAGTGTTTAATCTAAGCATATTCTGCTGTTTACAGTACTTAATATGATTTTTATGCAGCTATTAGACTGGTATTTATGAATATTGGCATTGATGTGTTCTTTGTGATGAGAAAAAAGTGAGCAAACTATTTCCAAGATAAGATGGTTTGTCTAATGTGTTGCCTTTATTTTAGTCCATAATGAATATTACTGACTCATATTTTCAAATATTGTTTATGCCAGATGCCAGGGCATTTGAGGCATTTATAATGACTGTTTTTGTCAATCCAGATAATAATTTGAAAATTGGATGTTATGTTTTTATGTTAGACAGAGATGCAATTATTGAATTTCATTCTATTTCTTATTATGTTAGATGGTGTAATATTCTTTAGGCTTCAGTCTGTAAGTTTGATTCACTGAACACTTTCTTTCGAATATTTAGTCTCACTTTTAGTTTTTTACTTTATATTTAATAATATATTTTTATTAGTGTGGTTCAGGAGAAAATAAAAGTGCCCATTGTGCTTATGTTTTTTTTAATACTAAGAAACAAAAAAACATCCCCCTTTTTCCTTTGCGATTTGGAAATACAGTAATTCGTATCCGAACCACCTGGCATTCTTGATACTCATCGCTTTCCATCCATTCCAAACAATCTATTCCATAATTTCCTAATGAAAAAGTGGCTTTATTAAAACTTTAAACGTTTTTGCATTAAATCAGATTGCATGACGGCAGATCGGGTGGTTGATGTGATATTTTCAACAGAAAAGTAAATTAATTTGTTCTGTTGAAGCCTTTAAAATGAAATTGTGAGGGGAAAACGCTGTTTAAGTTGATTTTCAAAGTAAAATATATACTCGGATGCATTTGACTTGCGCATTATCAATAAATCGTCTATTTGTCACCAAATTTTTGATACAGCCTTGGAATTTCCACATTAACAACCACAACTATCTTTTGACGTTCGAATTTTGTTTTAGATCAAAATCCCATTGGCCTTCCACATACGAGACCATAATAATAAAAAGGAAGAAAATACTATTTATTTGCCATCCCAATCGAACTGTCAATGTAGGTTCGAGTACATCTGGTGGTTAACAGGAACGAAATGCAATAGATTTTGATGTTCACCAAAGCTTTATTTCAAAACGTATTTAAATAATAAAAATGAATGTAGAAATAACCGTGCTGGGAGAGTAAAAATGAGGGGGTGGCATGAGGATGATTTTAATGTTCCGCCAGATATCTGGTTGTCAGTCGGTGCTACATTGAAAAGTTTTTCATCAAAATTAAACCTTGTTGAACTTTCAATAAAAAATATTGGTGTCCTCTTGGAAATAATTCTGAACGTAGTTTAACTTGGCAGTTATCAATAGAAGAAATCTGTGACGTGCCGATTTTAGTAACGCGCATATTATAGCAGACATGGAAATTGGTGATTCTTGTCTAACCTAATATTTTGTCTTCCTAATCTTAAGTAATCTCAAAACTTTCATCCGAATTGATATCACTGGCAAGTAACACTTCACTGATGGAATGGTTCTTAATACAGAGTGTTTGATGTGTATATAAACGTGTGGCATGAAAGGTATTCTCTACATGGCCGCGTTAAAAATTTCCCAGTCGTATTTTCTATACTTCTATTATGCAAAACTACTAGTCATTCCCAATTCAGATAAATGCTCCTCATATAGAAGTACCTGGCGCCGATAGATACTTGTGAAATATACAGGAAGAAATGGGTTTCAAATTGACTAGCCAGGCTATTTAGAAATGAATCATTAAATTTAAACTGGAATTAAAATCGAATCCAAGTGCTGAACAACGGGTCAAACAATGATTCGTGAGTTGGAAAAATTGATTTTCCCAGAAGAAAATTCATTTTGGCGGATAAATTCCTCCCAGAGTACCTTTAACTTAATTGTGCATTACAATACTCCAAGTGGGCATGTTATTCAGAATCAAGGCATTAGAGGGTAAGCGACGCAGTGATACACGTATAGGCCTATCTAACGTTTTCAAACATAAAGAGCCCGTGGCACATGGATTATTCTATTTATCTTCTCTTCACCTTTCACTATGGAATTATATGGTCGATTCTGAGTGAGCAATTAGGAGTGTATTTTTAGTCGTGGCACCCTATAAATAAACCAAAAAAGACCCGTTATCAGCATGGATCGGTAATCAACAGAAACTTTGAACGGGTATACAAAATTTGGTTTAACACATTACTTGTTTCCGTTTTAATGCGTTTACAAAGAGAGAATTCATATCAGCCCCTCACCAGAACTCATTTATTTCGATACATTCAAAACGGGTACCCAGGTGTATTCCATTTTAATTTCCCCTAAAAAGGGATGGTGTATCGGTTAATCACTGATATCAAGATGCTTGGATTAGTGCGATAAACGGACTTGAAGGAAAAACAGGATAGATAGATAGAACTGATTATTTGCTTAGACAGAGACAGTCTAGCTATCAGTTAAAATAAATATAAGATTAATTAAGGCCCATCGCGACCCGAATTCCCTCCCTTCGCGCATTTTGGAGGTTTTTTGTTTCTCGCGAAGCCCCATCTTTGAGCTTATATACATCTACTCTGAGGACGTACACAATACATATGGGTTTGGGTTGAATATATATATTAAAAAATCAAATTAAATATCACAGAAAGCGATATGCAAAACAGGTTAATGAAATCAATAATTCAGAACCTCAGGAGGATCAGAGTCCAGGACGATTTGTCCAGCTGATGGTCTCGTAGGGAATTCCCTGGCACACGTAACATACAGGGATAGCACAAGCAAATTGGCTTTTCGCATGATGAAGAGTATTTCCCAGGTTTGTCTGCGTCTTTAAATCAATACAAAGTGTAGTGACGATGCTTACGTAGACAATCAATGTGAGTAGATCTGTTTCTGTGTGCGATCGCTAGAAACCCAAATCATAACGTAGTATCTCGGAAACGGATTATCCACGCGGATACCGCGGCATTCCGTGAAGAGGGCACAGCACCGAGACATGACCTTTCCCATGTATAATTAGATGCAGCAGTAATGCGCTTAAGGTTGGTGGGTAACCCATCGCATGGCTATATACATGTATACAGGCTTTTATGTGCACTGTGTAGAAGATTTCAACCAACGTGACCCCGCTGAAGGATTTCAGGTGAAATGTTGATGGCCAGTTGATCTGATCATCGCTAGTTTGTCGCGTTTAAAAGAACGCTGGTCGCCACGGTAAACTGTATAGCTTCATATATTTCACAGTTGGGGTCAAGAGGTAGACCTACTAAATAAGAAACGGTGATTATTTAATCGATGTGGATCTACTTCAGTGTGGCTGCATAGCAGGAACAGCGAACAAATATCGTCTGCTGGCTTCCTGCGTGTACTGACAACACTTTGAGGGTTGCCATATAGTATGAAATGGTACGAAAATGACAGGACAAAGAGGAAAAGAGGATGTTGTTGATTCTAAGGTTGAAAGTTGGAGGTTGATTTTTACCAGAGCAATACAGAATGCCGCCGAGGAAGAAGAAGCGGGCTGTGCGTTCACAAAACGACTGCGAATGGCCTTGCCCGCCATTATTACTGATTATTTTGCTGCTGGTATTTTTCATCTTGGCTTTATCACAAGTAATGCTAGTTCACAACACTAAGTACATCGATCAACAGAGAAAGATGAGGGACTGGAGATCTATACAAGCTGAACTCAGGGAGATGGACCGCAGTATGCGAGCCCTCCTATTAGATAAAAGTATTCCTTCCATTGACGTAAACCGAAAAATTTTGCAGAATGAGGTTAACGCTCACAAAATAGCCGCCATGATAGAGGAGGCTTCTTCTGGCTTAAGCCGCGGTATCTCCAATGTTATGCCAAACGACACTGTTATCGCCGACGCCATGACAATAGCAAATAAATCGGCCAACATCCAAGATTTAGGCCCATCTGGCAATATTGATTTACTTAACGATATCAAGAATATTAACACTACCAAAGAAAACGATAAATTCTCCTTATTTCAGCTACTATTTAGGGGAGGTCATTTTAATAGAACTGCCAATGCTGCTGGTTTCAGAACCAATTTTCTAAATAACAGTGATGAAAACAATAATTCATTACAACCAGACCTAAATTTGAACCATTCTGTGACGTGGCCACAAGTTCGACACGATGTGAAGTATAAGCATTCACTGGAGTATTGCCCGTCAGTTCCCCCTAACTTGGGTAAGTGACTCCTAGCTATGCTTTGCTTATGTTAGTAACACATCTCTGTATCCTTAAGTTAGTAACACNAATGAAATCAATAATTCAGAACCTCAGGAGGATCAGAGTCCAGGACGATTTGTCCAGCTGATGGTCTCGTAGGGAATTCCCTGGCACACGTAACATACAGGGATAGCACAAGCAAATTGGCTTTTCGCATGATGAAGAGTATTTCCCAGGTTTGTCTGCGTCTTTAAATCAATACAAAGTGTAGTGACGATGCTTACGTAGACAATCAATGTGAGTAGATCTGTTTCTGTGTGCGATCGCTAGAAACCCAAATCATAACGTAGTATCTCGGAAACGGATTATCCACGCGGATACCGCGGCATTCCGTGAAGAGGGCACAGCACCGAGACATGACCTTTCCCATGTATAATTAGATGCAGCAGTAATGCGCTTAAGGTTGGTGGGTAACCCATCGCATGGCTATATACATGTATACAGGCTTTTATGTGCACTGTGTAGAAGATTTCAACCAACGTGACCCCGCTGAAGGATTTCAGGTGAAATGTTGATGGCCAGTTGATCTGATCATCGCTAGTTTGTCGCGTTTAAAAGAACGCTGGTCGCCACGGTAAACTGTATAGCTTCATATATTTCACAGTTGGGGTCAAGAGGTAGACCTACTAAATAAGAAACGGTGATTATTTAATCGATGTGGATCTACTTCAGTGTGGCTGCATAGCAGGAACAGCGAACAAATATCGTCTGCTGGCTTCCTGCGTGTACTGACAACACTTTGAGGGTTGCCATATAGTATGAAATGGTACGAAAATGACAGGACAAAGAGGAAAAGAGGATGTTGTTGATTCTAAGGTTGAAAGTTGGAGGTTGATTTTTACCAGAGCAATACAGAATGCCGCCGAGGAAGAAGAAGCGGGCTGTGCGTTCACAAAACGACTGCGAATGGCCTTGCCCGCCATTATTACTGATTATTTTGCTGCTGGTATTTTTCATCTTGGCTTTATCACAAGTAATGCTAGTTCACAACACTAAGTACATCGATCAACAGAGAAAGATGAGGGACTGGAGATCTATACAAGCTGAACTCAGGGAGATGGACCGCAGTATGCGAGCCCTCCTATTAGATAAAAGTATTCCTTCCATTGACGTAAACCGAAAAATTTTGCAGAATGAGGTTAACGCTCACAAAATAGCCGCCATGATAGAGGAGGCTTCTTCTGGCTTAAGCCGCGGTATCTCCAATGTTATGCCAAACGACACTGTTATCGCCGACGCCATGACAATAGCAAATAAATCGGCCAACATCCAAGATTTAGGCCCATCTGGCAATATTGATTTACTTAACGATATCAAGAATATTAACACTACCAAAGAAAACGATAAATTCTCCTTATTTCAGCTACTATTTAGGGGAGGTCATTTTAATAGAACTGCCAATGCTGCTGGTTTCAGAACCAATTTTCTAAATAACAGTGATGAAAACAATAATTCATTACAACCAGACCTAAATTTGAACCATTCTGTGACGTGGCCACAAGTTCGACACGATGTGAAGTATAAGCATTCACTGGAGTATTGCCCGTCAGTTCCCCCTAACTTGGGTAAGTGACTCCTAGCTATGCTTTGCTTATGTTAGTAACACATCTCTGTATCCTTAAGTTAGTAACACATTTCTCTCTCTCTCTCTCTCTCTCTCTCTCTCACACACACACACACACACACACACACACGTGGGAGTACGTTTTTTCTTAGCGCCCCTAAACAACGCATGCAACGAATGTAGTGGTATGACATCTATGTCAACCGGTAAATGTGAAATCACAATGAGACCGTTACGACACACACACACACACACACACACGCACGCACGCACGCACGCACGCACACACACACACACACATTTCACCCAAGTGATAAATTTCATGCCATTTTATATTTTTATTTGCATATTTTATTGCACAAAACACATCAGCTACATGTAACCTCATTCGTAATTTTCTAAGAACTGCGGATGCGGGTTCTTTGTCTATTCCTCGTTATGAGAGAAAACAAAAGCACGACTGAATTTGCGTCTACTCATTTAAACATGATGATATCAACATGCCAACCCAAAACCCACATCCCTCTCACCACGCACATAAAGCATGCGTGAGAAAAGACTTATGAAGGATTAGCGATGTCCGATAAGAAACATTTAGAAGGTCGAGGAGAGGTTTGTTCTTACACCACGTTATGATGACGTGTTGTGTTTCTTACATACAGGATATTCAAGGTTGATTTAATTTGCTTTGGGTTCTTTGTTGTATTTGATGCCTTAAAGCCAGATTCTTTTCTTTTTGCGTAGTCTGTTACATCCGTATGTCTTTTTTTTTTTTTTTTTTTTTCAATTTGAGAGTTCTTGCCGTCGGAATAACTCCCCAACTACTCCCGTTAAAAAGTCCCTCGAGGTCCTCGATGCTTCTTATCTTTTCATTTTCAGAGATCGATGTTTGAAAATTTGCTCGTGCTGCGGGAGTAGGGTAGGTTCCGCAGGGGGTATTGAATTCCTAACAATATTACTTTCCTTCCGGTTCTCAGTGGAAATTTTCACGGGCGGATAACAAGCGTTGGTTGATATTATCAGGAACTGAATTATGAAGGATGACATGAAATCCATGTTTTATAGCCACATTAACGTGGGTATGTTAAGAGAGAGAGGATTAAGAAAAATGTTAACAGGGGGCTGAATTTCAGGTTTTCATTAATAAAATTAATTATTGCTTCATTACAATTCTTGTAATTGTTGATAAGTTCGCGTGGAAAAGAAATGCATCCGATCAATAAATTATGAATTGATAGATTTTCATTAATTTACATATTCATTTATTTTAAGGACAATATTTATTTATTTATATCGCTTAGGTAAGAACAAAAATGTTTGGTGATCATGGTGTTACATGGTGTTGATCAAGGTTTTTTTCGCTCAAAAATGGCTGAAACCCACCTATTCAATAGTATTTTTATGCCATATTTTTTTCTAAGAGCTTTACGTCAGCAAATCACAATCGCATGACTAGACAATAAATTCCTTTTCGGCAAACCCGCAAGTAATCCATACTTCAATCTCACAGAAATGGATTTGCCTCAAAACGGGCGTTTACTGAACTTACCGCTAATCGTACTGTGAATGGTGTAATAGTGTCAGTAGGATTACATGTGTCCTGGAAACCTGTAATATCACCATTTACTGAGAACAGGTTGTCTGATACGGGCATATTATATCGTGTCATACAATAGATTTAATGTAGTGTAGTCGAAATACTGCAGGTTTAGAGATTTTGATGATCTAAAAGCACTAGTAATTGAAACTGAAATTCTGTTGTTGTTTTTTTCGTAATATACACGAAGTAATATTCACAAATATCATATGTTAGTTCTTATAGTGAGATATTGGAACAGTGTAAAATGATTGTGATCACAGACTGAAGCTATACAGGAATTTTTTCAATATATTGAATTTGCTTGAAGAAAAGAGACAGACTTTGTCTGAAAAGGACATTATGTGCAAATTACTTGTTTAATCAAGTAAAAAGTGTCTGATTATATGTTCCTTGCTATTTGGGGTGCGATCCAAACAATTTAATTAGTTTTGCTTCAGACGCTCGGGACACAAGTTTCTTCTTAATCAATACCAACTTGTACTTTTTCATTCAATCGCTATTCCATCCCCTGGCGGTATATTTGTATTAAACAGATTTATGTGACGCCACATTTCATCAATAGCTCATCTTTATATATGTTAAGATAGTGCAACTAAATTCTTTACCATGTCGCCGATATTTAGACAAAACTTTCGTTAATTGAACCAAGACTCAAATAATTTTTTAAAAAATTTTTATAAGTGAAGTGCAAATTACAAAATGAGAGTTTTTGAATGTTAACTCCGAATTGTAAACTCTCCTATAGAAGATAATTAATGGAGGAGAAAAGCCAAATATTTCCGAGTTATTGATCGTGTGTCAATTCCATATCTCAACAATTTACTGTGAATTGGCATTTACGGTATCATTTGTTCCCAGGACGATATCCTAGGCCCAGACACGACTCTGGTCTATTAGAAGCATTAGCATAATGGAAAACAGTTTTTCTTCAGAAGCTCTTAAGTTCAATAATGAAATTACTGCATTAGCGCACATCGTTTGGCCACTGAATCAAATGTACCATAATTTGAAACAATCAAAAAGGATTTGCCTTCGTGCTAGTGCCTCTTATTTTTCTTTATATTAGAATATCATTGTTTCCAATCTGTCCTTCACATTACCAAGATAAACCTCATATGAACTAAGTGAGGATTTGTGTTTTGACATAAAATGCCTATTTTTATTTTCTGTTTAAAATGTAGGGCTTATTCTGTGTTCTTTAACATTACTTCATTTCAGCCTTTAAGCTTCTAAAATATGATAACGCATTCTCTGAGGTTAATCTAAATGTGTTGCCACACCAAAAATAAATTGTATCTTTTTCTTTTTCAGTTGGTGCTACAAGGGTGGATGTAACGCACAATGCCAATCTCAGTATGAATGAAATTGTGAGGCAGAACCCAGAGGTGCTACCGGGAGGGGCGTGGCGACCACGTGACTGTGTGGCGCGCCACCGTGTGGCGGTTATCATTCCGTACAGAGATCGACTGGAACATCTGATCGTCCTTTTGTCCCACCTCCATCCAGTCCTCCAGAGACAGCAGTTAGATTACAGAGTTATAGTCGTTGAACAGGCACGTTAGAAATAAAATGTTTTGTTGAGTAAGATTTCAGGTAGATGTTAACATTAAAAATGTTTATATTGATTAAGCTGTAGGGGAGCCCACTTTGTAGGCATGTCATGGGTCTTAATGAGAATTGGTTACGCTTTTTAAACTTTGAGCCAATTTTTCAAGTTTTAAGTAACTTAAATAGACTCAAACAAACTTTGTACTGCAACCTTGATATTCTGGGTTTTGTTGTGCATCAAATTCAATTGTATGAGGGGAAAAAGAGATTTTAATGAAGTCACACACCCTTCACTGAATGTTAGCACCGCTGTCTAAAACGTCAATTTTCTTTATAGCTCTATTTTTGTCGCAGGAAATTACTTGGCTGTTTAAAGATTCCTTTTTTTAAGTGGACGCCCTGATGTATTGCTTTTCCCATTGTTTTTCACAGACAGGAAACGACACATTTAACAAAGCCCGGCTCATGAACCTCGCGTTTGTGGAGGGCCTGAAGATGTACAATTTCCAGTGTTTTGTGTTCCATGACGTGGATTTGGTCCCCGAGGACGACCGGAATATGTACTCCTGCCCTGTGATGCCCCGACACATGTCTGTGGCTATAGATGAAATGGGATACAAGTAAGTGGAAGATGACAGTTGAACCAGGATATACAGCAAAGTTAATACAAGGCTGAGAAACAAAACCAATCGAAATATTGACTTACGAATGTTTTCACTTGTATTTGGCAGCTATGGAAAAGCGAACTGTGATTATGAAAAATTAATCCGTAAATTAACTCATTCAGTCTGATGCTACAGTATGTCTGCAGATGAGAATGAAATATAGATGTGTGGCTTAGTGAAAGCCATGCTAATCATTTGTCAAATGCAATCCATGTAGATAATTGTAAACATTTTCCACTGTACACGACATATTTATCTTGCAGAATGGATAACTGCCAGTTTATTTTAATTAGTGTACATACAACCCAGACATCAAGAATACACGCTTGATTGTCAATACCCTGTGTGACAGGATTGGTAGTGCTAGGAATGGAAGTCCGGAGTCCTATATGATTAGTACAAGTCGGGGATAGTCGGAGTATTGGGGTTAATACATGGGACGAATGTCACCTGTACAAAGTAATGGGAAATGGACTTCAGTTCCTAGCTGACTACACCGGCACATCTTTGTCCTAACGTTCCTTTTAACGATATCTTTAATTTGCTTTGAAACAGGCTCTCTGGGACACGTACCAATAATGAGATATTTTCCTTCTGTTCCAGACTGGCGTACGAGGAGCTGGTAGGCGGAGTGCTGAATATGCGTGTTGAACACTTCCAGCGGGTGAACGGCTACTCTAACCTGTACTGGGGATGGGGAGCAGAGGACGACGACATGGCTTACCGGTCAGTTTGAAATATTGGCTGCACAGAACTGCTCATATATATATATTATTTTGTCTTTAAAATAGTCCGCTTCAAACCTGAAAATGCCGCAAAACCTAACGCCTCTCTTGTTAATACGGGATTGTAATATATCAGCTCCATTCTGGTTTTAATAATGACTTTCCACCCAGAAGACAATATACAGACTTGACGTTTAATATGGATTTTTTGAAATCATTTTTCTTTTATTTTTTCCTATTTTTCTGACTGATAATTGATAACAAGGCTTCGAATCGGGTTTAAAAGACTTAATATTATCTCTTCATTTGTATGGCAGGTTTCATGCCACACAGCAACCATTAAAAGATCATATATTCTAAATTACCATTTGTGAAAGAGTCGTAGGCCCCACAAAGGACTCTGATATCAGTGTCTAGGCACAGCAAAGGTCAGGTGTGCGTCTGGCCTCATCTGGTTGCTACCAGGGCTCTCTAGCGGCGAGGCATTACTTCTGACAGGTTTCTTAGAGTTTGATCTGGAAAAAAAATTCCAGGCATCGGTCAAAGCTTGTCCAATTTGGTTTAGGTTTGTTGTAGAACCAGTAGGCAAGTAATAACTATCTACAGTTTGTTTATAGGGTCAAATCTGGCGATCTTGATAGTTCCTGTAGCTGCTTAATCCACTGCTTCTGCAAATAATCTGCGAATACAAGTGCACTGTTTGGACGAGCATTTTCATCTGGTAAAATAAAATTGTTTGTGAGGAGCCCTCGAACAAATGGCAGGTATACGGTTTCCAGAATATTCCTCTATTTGACATGGTTTCAGTATCCACGGATGACTTCCATTGGTGTTTTGGCACCAATATAAATTCCACAGATGAAATCTGACCTCAATAGTGAAAGTCACATGATGTTGTGTTCGAAACCGTTGATGACGTTCCCAACTGATTGTAGAAATAGACCACGATATTATTTTGTTCACAGTGGCCTCCTAAGAAGTTTATGGTAAAATGAAGAGCTGAAGTCAGTCAGGGGATTACAAAGATACTTAAAATACGCTTTTGGCTGACAATTTGCCCCTCTTTTGAAGGCAACTGGTTGTGTTTGTTGATTGTAGCAGCAATTAGTCCCGTTTTCTATTGGTAGACGTGGCCTCTGCGTAGGTCCACTAGTCCGGGCATACATGTGTCTCTGTATAACAGTACTGAACATTCTTTGTGATGCAATAATCTGACTGGAATTGTCTGTTCTTTTTAGAGAACTATGCTCTCTGTCATAGTCACACTAGGACCGGCCCAAAGAGTGCTACCCAATGAAATTATTAGATATTACGTAATGCAAGAGGGCTAAAGACAAGGTAGTCAATTAATTGTTACTGACACACCTGACTACACTTTGTTCTATTTACGTATCTGATGTAAGATAAAAGATTAAAAACCATACGTTTTATCCCTATGCATATCTTTTAAACTGAATATTCCATATTAAATGTCAAATCTGTACGATAAGAGCGGTTTCGAATTTTAGATCTTTTACCTTAGTCTAAGAACAATCGCAATTTTTGTAAGCCTTCTGGTATTTTGCTTAATGAATTTTGTGAAAACATAACTCAACTGCGTTCCAAACAATATTGAGACAGACTTGTTTATCTGATGAGAGCCCACATTTACCTTGACGTCAACAAGAAACGTGTAGTGTTTACAATAGAACCGAGTTACTTGTTTTGGCATAACGCTTCTGTTGTTGCCGGCAGTGTCAACTTTCATCTTAGATAAACATGTTGCCTGACAATGGAACAGTTCCCTATTTGATTTTCTAACAGATTTGAGTAAATTTGCAGTAATAATCAATAAAGCAGATAGTTTACCTCACAGGGTGATAGTTGAACGTGTGACTATGAAGTATATCTTGTTTTTTTTTGAGACACTTGACAACAAAGTTTTTTTTTGCTTTTGCTTTTGCTAGTCGCAGAATATTTTTTCAAGTAGAACAATTTCCGCTCTGAAAAGGGTTCGGTTTCCGCAACGTCAATAAGAAGCTAGTTTGCGATAACGTACTATTTAATTTTTTGTCCAGCAGATTGGCAACATGTGTTACCAAAAAACAATACAGACTGGCATACTAAAATGTTTAATATTGTTTGTCTACGTTCTTTTCCTGTGGTTTTCAGGGGAGCTATGTGTTCATACTGTTGACTTCTATTTGCAGAATTATGCATGTTGGTTTAAAAATAACCCGCCCTCCTACCGCCATAGCACGCTACAAGATGATCCGGCACGTCAAAAGAAAACCAGTTGACTGGAGAAAGAGGTATCTACTAATTAAGTCAATTCCACTTTGCAGACGATGGCATGTGAAGTTGACGTGATTTATATATTTGTTTAAACGAATCAGCGACACACTAAATAATTGGTATTTATGTTAAATGTTAAACATATCATAAATATTGTTAAGTTGAGATGAGGCTGTGTACCATTTTTAGAAAGACATTTTTTACATTGTGAAATGGCAGTTTATATGGGTAAGATTAATTTGCTAATTGGGGATGGAGAAACATTTTGCCATTTGGCAAAGTGACTTGCATGAAACACAATCCCCAGTATGCGAATTTCGTGTACTATGTTGTAACGGAGGGAAGCTACTGTGTAATGATCATTAGATATGGATGGTGACGGGGCATAAAGCTGAGTTTACTCAGTGGATATGAGGCACGTTGTTTTTAGACTTATTTAACCTTTTTAGGTCATTGTCTTTTTTAGAACAAGAATGAACATATAAATTGTCTGTGAATAACAGCAGAAACTGGTAGACGTGATGGAAGCTATTTAGGCATTAGATAGTCGGATATAACGTATAAAATGCGTTGTATAATTTCAGAACACGTCTGCTTAGAACGGGGACGAGACGTTTTCATATGGACGGGCTGAACAGTCTTACCTATAACTTGGTTTCAATACAGCAGCGTCCTCTTTTCACTCACGTGATGGCGGATATAGGGAAAGTGCCAAAAGGATTTTCATGACTCATGCAGAAGCTTGACCTTCACCAGGAAGTTGCTCTTCAAAGTTGAGTGGCTCCGACATCCTCAGTAATTCAAAACTGGACAGTCTTCCCAGTGATAGAAACCTAACCTCTCAAAAAGTCTATGGATTATTCATGAAATACAACTTACAGTGGAAACCTTGAAGTGGAAACCCAGTTTTCTTGGAAAATGCTACCCTTGATTTACATAATAGTGATCACCTCAAAAATTCTCAGATTTTTATGTACAAAAATTGTTTGTGTGCCCCCCTTAGCTCCAATAAAATAAGACGGTAACCACGTTTTCTAGACCAGGAAGAGCATGGCACTGTCTGAGTTTATATAAATTGTTTAAATAATGCATAAAGAGTGTTCATGTAGCCAGGATTTAGCGCAATATTTATAATGTTTATCATTTGAACTCTTTATGCAACAGTGACTTCTTCATATACACATGTCTCTGACATCATGCTGCGTACCAAAGCTCTACAACACGTTCACATTTTTTCCAATCGTCATTATGTAAGGGCCAACAGCATATTTACTGTGAACACAGTCATCTTTGCAATTTACCATTTGCATTTGTCATCGCATTATATACTTTATTACTAATGTTTATGCATTGGGATAGGCAGGTATATTACCGTAACCGATGGTGTAAACACTAATAGCTTGGCTGCTCTTTGCTTTGACATTAACAGGGGCGTTTCTAGGAAAAATATGCCTATAACAAATAATAAAATTTCACCCCTATCTAAACATCCATAAAAGTAACTTTACCACATGATGGGCTCAAAAATACAATTCAATTTAAAAAATATTTTAAGTAACAGATGTCCCCACATGAATACTGGGATTGCATAGAGCAAATAAACCGCTGACAGCGGCGCCCTCTTTTGATGTCGCTCAGGGCATCTTACTCAAGCTGCAACACCCTAGATATGCCGCCGATCATAGGTCATAGATCACGCTACGTCTTGTTCAACACGATGTTTAATAAAGCAGTTCCGCTTTGGTAAATTCACAAAGGTGGTTATTACAATAGCAAGTCTCCCAGTTTCCAATTTATTGATTTTTACTTTTATTAAGATGGAGCACGTTTCTTTGTCAAAATACTTGTGCCATGCTAATATAACAAGACTGTTGTGCGATAGGCGAGTTTAATTGTAACGTGTGTTGTAATCACCATTCAGTAAACACTCTTGGCAAGGGTTCGGCAGAGTCAAGCGCATTTTCTCACATCCATTTTTTGTTCAATTGGGCAGCTTCCACATAACTAGATATTAGGGTTCAGGAATTGGTATCATTAAAGTATTATCCCCCCTTTTCTTGTTTGATACATTGTATATGTATGGACGCAGTTGGTTAAAACATAATTTTATGTTATTTTAAATCAATTTAGTATTTTGTTCATAAACTAATATATGGTGCCACATCTTTGCTAGTCAAATTATTTGTACATGTTTATTGGTGCTACAGTATGTTTTCATCTATAAAACATCACTGCATTTTTTTAGAAATATTAATCCGTATAAGGGTATACAGAGGTCAAAATTGAGCATTTATGTGTATTCACGACTATGTGATATATATATATATATATATATATATATATATATATATATATATATATATATATATATATATATATATATTCCATGCTATTTTTCTTTCTTCAGTGTATTATCTCATGGTATCAAGCCAATAAATTTTTGTTTTAATACAGATGTGAGATTAAAGTCTTCTCTGCTTTGAAGACCAACCGATATGCAACAGAGTTCATATAAGCATTCAGAAGATGTTAATAAAATATTAAGAACGTAAGCTACGTCACTAGAGCATAACCAAGAGTGCAACCAAGACATACCCTTTTGAGAAACTGTGTCACCCATATTCCACAAATAATAAATGACTGTGGTTCTGTACTAGCATTGTCAGACAACGAAAGGCAGAGGCTAAGATAACAGTTCTCAAACTGGTCGAGGTTGAAGGGTAAGTAACGATCGTCTGTCTCTGGAAATTTAGTGTCGATTTGATATTGTTAACAGTTATCTGATGGGTAGCAATGCAAGTGTGTCTTATTTAAAAATTATTGTAACGTTACGGGGAAAATCTATTAGATTACATTTTTTCACTCCAGGGAATTTTCCAAACGAGTACATCCGCTAGCATGCAGCCATCTTGGCGATTGCCCGGTGCACGGCGTAGTAATTCAAGATGCTTGAGAACGCTCTTACTGTTCGTTGTTTTCTGTGCAGCCGCCTTTTTTGGGGGGTGGGTGTGTATGTATTACTACTTGTCAGAAAACAGAACCGAATCACTGGAAGAGCCCGCTGAGCTCTTTGTTGCACCCCCAGCTCCAACACCACAGGTGGAAAAAGACCCGGATGAAGTCTGTTACCTCCACGCCACAGGGCTTGGCCGTCACGGAAATCTCATGTTTGAATATGCCGCTGCAATGTGCATTGCCTCCGAACTCGACAGAACCTTGATTGTGTCTTACCGGTTTAATGAGCTACTGGGCTCGATGTTTGATCTTTCCGCCCCCGATCCTGGTGCTTTTAAAAAAGTCAATATAAGCAGTTTTAAAACTGTTAAGCAATCCCCAAGGTGCTGCTCTTTCGATAAGAAATTACTGTCACTGCCCAGGGTAGACATCACGCTTGTTGGGTTTTTTCACTCATGGTTATACTTTGATAAATGTCAAGAGCGAATCAAAGCAGAGTTTGAATTTAAGGAATCTATCGTGCACCAGGCCGACGACTTACTTGTTAAAGCCGCCAGAAGTTTTGGATGGGACCGTGTTAAGGACTCTGTCTTGTTTGTTGGGATCCACGTCCGTAGAGGAGAGAGAAAATCAGTAAACCCCCTTCCCCATGGGGACGCCAACGCAGATGAAAGTTACTTTAAGAAGGCAATGAGTTTTTACGACGGGCAATATCGTGATAGGAACATAGTGTATATCGTTGTTTCTGACAGTAGTAAAACTGCAGGATTCGTTGTTCAGCACCCACACGCAGCTGTTATCGACGACAAACCCGTTGAGGTTCATATGGCGGTTCTTTCACGATGTAATCATAGCATCATAAGTGTAGGGGCACTTGGGTGGTGGACGGCGTTTTTGGCCGGGGGAACAGTGGTATATTATAACGGCTGGCCAGATCCTACAAGCTCAGTGTCCGCGTTGTACAGACTTAACCAATATTTCTATCCGAAATGGATCGGTATGTCATAATAATCCTAGTTTTAATACTTAAAAGCTATTTGACTTGATTGGACTAGTTTTGAAAGGGTTCTGATAATTATTGTCACGAAATACTCCATGAAACAAAACTTTACCGGATTTCTAAATCTTGAACTGTGTCTATATGTACACTCACCAAAAAAGTTTGGAAGCATCGTAATTTTGAATAATTATAAATAACCACATGAGCTAAGGTAAACATTTAAACCAAATATTGATGGATAACGCACCCAACATTCGTTAGTCCTACTTTTAATTTTGTTTGCAAGGAAAGGAATTCTTTTGAAATTACAACGACATATAAAAATGGGGGATCAAAATTCATTTTCAAAAATCAGGCAGAAGAAGACAGAAACTTTGAGCGAGTCTTGACAGTAAACAGTAAAGATATTTATCGAAGGCATACAGTATGTAGGCTTCAGTTAAGATAAAGACTTGAGGTTGCTCAGCATCAGTTTCGTGTGAAACCTCCAAGAGCATCAACCCAGGCCTGGCATCTGTGGTGTATGCTGCAGATAAATCTGTTGCTGAGGTCAGGTAACTTCAGACAAACATTCCAATGCCTCTAACTTTGAAGACGGCATCAGTTTCCTTTATTGGTGTATTGTAAGCTGTTATATTGCCTTGCTACCTCTTATTTCGTATTGGGATTATTAAAACTCTTAGGATATTTTGTTTCTCTATTGTTTTCTACGAATAGAACTGCATTTGGGAGTAAAATGATGAGTACATCTTATGTGTTACTAACCTCCACCATCTTTTTTGGTTTGAGTAGTTTTATTTTCAGAATTATCCTAGTGTAGAAGCCTGTTTTGGTTTTAAACGTAGAGATCGCAGTTAAGTCTGCTAAATACTCTTGACTTTATGTTACAAAGCACAAATCAACTCCGTCTGTAGATTCAAATATGTTATATCAGTTAAAATCTGTTTCATCCGTTTTATCTAATTATTACAAATACATATTTGACACTGAAAAAATCACAATGCTGGGACTATATTGGTCGTGCAGTTTAGCTATATTGAATGTTGAAACAAATGCAAAAAAGGCTTCACCTTAGATTAGAGATCAAAAAGCTAAGTTCGTTCATAATTGAATATTGACAGCTGAATAATTAATAATAAATGGTAGTTTTTTGTGATTTCCAACGACAGCCCGACAAAAAACTGCTAATACAAGAGATAAAATAAAATAAAATAAAATAAAATAAAATAAAATAAAGGACTTCTATTCGGTTCTTAATTATTCAAAAGCTTATTTGTCCAGTTGCGTGCAACATGCTGTCTTTCTTGTAATTTCATCGAATCAAATCGGAAAACCGATCATATAAACGGAGAGATAAGAAGACCGTGCAGTTTTTAGAAAATGCAAGTAATTCTTACATTCAAATCAGCACCACACTTAGTTTCATAGATATGTTTGAAGACATTTTTTTTTGGGGGGGGGGACAAAAAGAGCTAAGCGCAATGAAAGTATATGGAAAGAACCAGCTGAACATGTTCGTATAGAACAGGCTAACATGGATACTTCTGAACGGCCGTTTACAGCTGGTGTCATCAAGGTATATGATACACCTGGTAAGATATTACCCACCCTACTAACTCCACGCACTTGTACACATAGCCGAGATCAGTTATTTATTGGTGAATATTTGAGATGATAACGATTACATTTTCAATAAGGCTGTTTTCTGCCAAGTCAATCCATACAATATTAATTTTGTTCGTCACAAGTATACATATTAATCCGGTCGCTCGCATATTGACATGCAATATTTAACTTGAATGTTGCGCGGGCTTTAATTAAATGGAGCTGTTTATTCAATTGTTATCGCCTCACCAAAATATCGCCAGTTAGTAACGGAAACCCAAGCGTAACACAAAAGGTGAGTTATATTACACAGCATAATATACATTGCCATTTATTACTTTTTTCGTTATGGGCAAACTAAATCCTCTTTATAAAAAATCTTTTTTAAAATGTCACTATTTAATCAGTAATAAAATATGTTGTAATCAACCAAAGGTTCCTTGGAATATAATTTCAAACGAATCTTATTCAGTATGCAAACCAAGGCGCGGTGGTTTCAAAAGTGGTGCTCCAAGAAGAGAGTGGACAGTGTTCTTACGATTGGTATATCACTAATTGTAGCCTTCCTGAGTGGATTGTTATATGTCAGATGGACTGTTGACATAAGTGCCTGCCAGACTGATCAAATTGAGCTTATCTTGGAAGAGAAGAGCCCGGATGAACCAGCGTACCTTTACATGCCAGGAAAGGGTAGACATGGAAACCTGATGTTTGAATACGCGGCTGCATTTTGCATTGCAAAAACCCAGAACAGAACTTTAATTGTTTCTCCCAAGTTTAATGCGTTTTTGGGTAAAGCGTTTCACTTGTCTGCTTTAGAACCCCAGAATTTTGAAAATTTAGATACGAGCAAGTTTGTGAATTTAAATCAGAAACCAAGATGTTGTTCATACGACCATCGCCTGGCCACTCTCCCCAGGGCTGACATTACCCTGCACGGCCTATTTCATTCCTGGCTCTATTTCGAGCCTTGCAAAGACGACATTAAACAAGAATTTACTTTCAATTCCTCTTTATTAAGACAAGTTGATAAATACCTTGAGTCGGCAACTTCAAAGCGTGGCTGGAAAACACCAAACAAAGACTTAGTCTACATAGGTTTGCACGTACGCCGGGGAGATAGGGGTCAAGTCTTGCCCGTCCACGCTCTCCCTCACGGTGATGCGAACGCGGATCTTGGGTTTTTTCAAGAAGCAATGAGGTTCTACGACGAGGAATTTAAAGACAAGAAAGTTATTTACGTCGTCGTATCTGACAACTTTCAGTGGCCTTTGTCCATGATAGACCATCCTAAAGCGATCATTGTCCGTCACAGACCGGAAGAGTTCCACATGGCGCTGTTGTCACGTTGTAACCATAGCATCATGAGTGTTGGTTCTATAGGATGGTGGACGTCGTGGTTGGCAGGGGGGAGAGTGGTATATTACAACGGCTGGCCAAACCCCTATAGTAACGTTTCACATATGTATAGGTTAAACCAGTATTACTATCCTCGATGGATTGGAATGTCCTGAATCTTGCTAAAATAAGCATCGTGTAAAATTAGCTCAGAAGTTGGGTTGTTCGTGATTAAAATGATAAAATAACTGTTTCAGCTTTTAATACTTTTCTGTTGACAATTTTACAAAAGGATCTGCTTGAAACACCAACACATAATAACATTTGACTTATCCTTGCCATTTCGTTTTCATAACCACCTCACGTATAACACACCTAAAACTTTTGGCAACTAAGATAGCCTATTCGATAGGTAACTAAAGCATATTTCCAAAATATGAAAGGTGCGAATTTAAGTCGCCAATATGTATTGAAAGGCGCCAGTGTGAAAAAGATATTGATCGTTCTTTACTTCATAGTATAAATGATCCGAAATAAGCAAATATAGCATCAACATATTTTCTTTCATTACATATTAACGTGATTATCGATTAGTAGTTTTCGTGTGGAAATATTAATGGAAAGCTGTTTCAAAAGTTTACTAAAGCTGGCTTTAACCGTGTCATGTTAAACATGTTACTTACCCTATTATTAAGAACAGAGATGATAAACCAACATTCCCTAAAATGATAGGGGATGTATGATAAGTAAATATAAATACATATGGCGAATTTGCATAATTCTGCAAAAAAAGTAATGAGTAACGTAACTTGGCATCAATTATTTACCGTGATAATGAGTTTCTACATACATTATTGTAGCAGAAGTGTCAGCAGCAGTGGGCTCGTCTACGTTTTTATACTAATTTGTAGTCATTTTAGAATCTGCCGACACGTCACAAACAAGCCTGGACATAGAAGGTATCGCAGCTTTATTTACTTTGTGTTTTAGTAAGACTTGTTTCTCGGCTTCTACTTTTTCGTAAGTAATGCAGTTTGATGTCCGTAAAAACCATTGCTGTTTATTTTGCACTCATTTATATTATGCTATGGTATGCGTCATTGCCAGATTGGAGTTGGTACACCTTTAATTTCCAGGTTGCGTAGTTATGAATCGTTTAAGCCGATGGGCCAAAAGTAACCGTTACTCAATGAAGTTCATCAAAACGGTTTTGATTGGCCTTGGCCTGTTCATATCTTTCTTCATGGGAGGAATGGTTTACATGGCCCTGTTGGCGCCATCTCCGGTCTGTCTTACCGGACAATCCAAAGCAGACCTCCTCTTTACACAACCTGAGAAGAGTCCACTCGAGACCAGCTATATTTATATGCCAGGGAAAGGTGCGCACGGAAACCTCATGTTCGAGTACGCCGCCGGCTACTGCATCGCCAAGAAACTTGACCGGAGCTTCATTGTGTCCTATAGATTCAAGCTATTACTCAGCAGTCTCTTCCACCTCTCAGCGCCAGAACCAGAACAACAGTCCGATGGCGTCAACGTGACAGATTTCTCCGTCTTCACCCAGAGACCCAAGTGCTGTAAGTACGATGAGAGGGTCACAAAACTCCCACGACTTGACATAACACTGAAGGGATTTTTCCACTCCTGGCTATATTTTGAATCTTGTGCCGACGACATAAGACGAGAATTTACATTAATAGACCCACTTCCAAAGAGAGCAAACGATTTTCTTCTTAAGGCAATTAAGTCATTCAAATGGGATCCCGAGTCCGTTGTATTCGTGGGCATGCACATACGACGAGGTGGTCGGAGACCAGGCCTGTTGCCTCTTACCCACGGCGATGCAAAGCCGCCCCCAGGTTACTACGCCAAAGCCATGAATTACTACGATAAGAAATTCCCAAGGAGAAACGTTATGTTTGTTGTAGCATCTGATGATATTAGATGGGCCAGAAACAATTTAGACCATCCGAACATCGTGATCAGTGGGGACAAAACGGTGGACTTTCACATGGCAGTTTTGTCGAAATGTAATCACAGCATAATTAGTGTAGGCTCCATTAGTTGGTGGAGTGCCTGGCTGACAGGTGGGAGCGTGGTGTATTATAACGGATGGCCCTCCCCTCATAGTCTCATATCTCAAAAGTACACGCTCAATCAGTACTTCTATCCTAGATGGGTGGGGATGTCATAATTTGGTTTTTACGTTTATGGAAGGACCACTTTTTGAAATTGACGTTTAATTATAAAAGATGTTTGATTATTAATAAGTCGCAGAAAGTGTTTTAAGCTCCATTAGGGTGCATTCCCAGAGATTTAGATTTAGATCAACCTAACTCCCAGGGGGTTCACGCTAAATTGCAGTCAACCGAGCGTGCACCATAGTTAATTACCCCCTTACAGCTTTCAGTAGGCGGGACAGACGCTTAAACCGGCTAAGCTGACAGTTATCTAGTGAGACTCCCCACAGGGATAGATCGATCTAAAATCTATGGGAATGGGGTCTTAGACTCTTTTACGGTTTACACACATTCTTTAGCGCACTTGTGGAATTTATTGGGTAAAAACATACATGGCGTGTGGGCAACCACATGCTCAGAATGCGCTGCACTTGCATATTCTATACTTGTTTTTTAAGATCAGGGCTTTGCTTTTGTGGTATTTTGCTAAGACTACAATTTATCTTTGAATTATGAATAAAATATAGATAGATTAACCGTCTCAGAGGAATAAAACTTGAAAAATATTAAACATGAATCAGTAAATATTCTGGTGCATTTCTGGTGTATTCGAAAAGTTACACGTATAAATAAATAATAAACCATTTCTATCTGATTTTTATTGTGATCACAGATCTACAGTAAAATTAATCTCACTAAATGGGAGGAACGGATACAGCCAATTAACACAGTCACTTATATTATATTGAATATTTTAATATTATATTGAATATTAAATTGAAGTAACATGTGTGTTTTTCTTTGTGCTTATGGAATGGTTTAAATAAAACATATCCTGATACTTCTGCTTTCGACTTCAATTCACATGTCAATTAACTTCGAGCATAGAGAAAGTCAGGAAAATTCAGGTTTTGTACACACGGTTGTGCTGGCGCTATTTCACGGTCTTGAAGTGTCAACTAACTCTGTTGCCGAGGACTTTGGATGGCGAACCTGAATGTCGTCCGGCAATTTCTTCTGCAAATAGAAATTCGAAACCTATAAACCCATGCAAATTTTAGAATAAATTGAAATGGGCACCCGTGGAATAATTGCTGCCTCTTATCTTCCTGATCTCCCTAGTAGTTTGTGCTTCTATCTCAAAGACATGCCATAGTGTTTTATTTTTATTATTAAAAATAGATTTACTCCTATGGCACTATGAGTATAGTGATAGTTTAACCAGGGAATTATATCGGATATAATTCCCTGGTTTAACACAAATTGAAACTGCAGAATGTAGGCCTATGGATCGCTCACTTTGCTTAAGTCATATGAAGAAACATTAATCACGAAAATATATTTTAGGATAAAAGCTGACCCTAAAACTCCAAGTTATTTTTAGAGTTGTAAAATTGCGAATATCGAAGTATTCTTTTCTTTTTTCTCTTTGAAGCAAAGCATGGGGCAGTGGGTGTTAATATCCTTGGTCAGAGCAAACTTGTTTTTATAGATTATAAATACATTAGCCAGGGAATGGGGCGAAGGAATAATTTAAAATATAACATCACAATGAGTAATCCTTTCTCAAAATGTATTCCTAATTTTTATTGACCTGTTTCTCCGCCTCCTGTCGCCGAAGATCTTCCCGGATAAGTGCTGTTAAAAGATGAAAACTTGAATAGTCTGCCGACCAGATTTCTTGTTACATGTGGTATACCAGCCATTCACACAATGCAGTAATTTGTCGAACTCGCTGTTCAATATTTCAGTACCTTCATCTGTCCGCATGCTGTTGCACGGACTGAACGATATTCATTGTCAGATATCACATGTATATTTAAGGGAGCCGAGTCGTATGACAAACTTCCATTGTATATTGTACACACAAATTTGGGGAATTCCATATACAGTAAATGGAAATACTATAAAGGAAAATGCTACTAACATACCTAACTATACTTTTTACACATCTTTACTTTTTATAAAGCTACACTTTTATATACAGGTGTATAACATTCTGCGGGTATGGGAAGGCTTTGCGTTATCTTTTAGTACACCTCACCTGTGGCAATAACTCCCAGAAGTAAGGCACCTGATGCCAGAGAGTTAGCAGCAAGCGGGCCATATCTGCTCAGCAAGGTGCCCATCAACGTCGTAAACACGATGCCAAAAAGCTGAAAAAAAGTAAAAATAAATTAAGACAGTGCCTATGATAAAACTGTTTATTGGGTGTAAATGATTACGTTTTCGTTTGAAATTTAGATAAAACGAAAGCTTGGATCAAAGCAGTGAATGGTTGATAATTGATTGCAGGAGTAAAAACTCAAGTTCAATTATATGTAACTAGTGCTAAAAACATATCAAATGTAGAGAAAACGGCATCACTGAATCATTTCAAAAAAACAAGGTATGTGGGCAATTCGATGTATACTGTATGAAAGACATTTCCTATCTATGAGTTAATAGTACAATATACGGGCAAAGCAGAAGTGTAAATTATACACAGTGTTGTCTACTAGAAAACATAATTATATTAACGTTACGATTGCTTATGATATGATCACCTAGAATCTTTCAAGGTATATAGTCGTATACATTTAATCAATTTGTTTGGCGTGAACATGCAGTCAACTACCTTTTTCAATTGCAAAGTTGTGAACAAACAACTACAATCTTGTTGCCGCCAGTATAACCACCAACTGTGCTGCTTCAAAGAACATGAGCTGTATCTTCAATTCTGTGCCCATATAAAATTATAGTTTTGTTTTACTGCCCAATTCTCACCTGAGCCGTGGCGTTCAGGAGTCCCGATGATGTTCCCTCCGACTCCGGGTACGTGAGCTCTGCTGCAAACTCAAAACCCACTGGAAGGTAACCCGTCATGAAGAAACTAGAAAATGCAGTGTAAGGAACGCAATGATGAATTTAGATACTTCATGGCGTTTCAATGTACAAAGGAGTGTTTATTTATCAATAATGGCACTGCCACATTTGTAGTACATGTACGGCCCAACAAGTCTATATCACAGTATTGCATTGCTTCTGACTTGTTCAGGAAAAGTCACATACTTATTGGAAACAAAGTTTTCATAACCGTCAAATAATAGAGTTCGAACGTTTAAAAAAACGTTGCATAAGCCAATGACCACTTGCCGTATATGATATTACCCAAGTATTCCTCCGCAGAGGTAGAGAAGCCAGAGTAAACCCTGGTCCAAGGTGAAGGTGAACAGGACCATGCCCGCCATTGACATGAAGTAGATCGCCACCGTAGTCAGTCTAGATGTAGATAAGGGAGACATATCAACAATGTGCTTTGTAAGAATTTGATATCATGTAAGGAATCAATAATAAATAATTACATGATATATATGAAGCGACGGTAAAAACGTCAAAAATAAATGTACGTATGTACGTATGTTAAGACAAATATGGGACACAAACGGAATAATAATAATTCATTCAACATAAGTGTAACGGAGAGAGGGTCGACACCCCCCCCCCTTCGTGATACCTTGGGGACTGCCAGTTAACTCACTTGAACTTCTTTGTTTTATCCAACCACAGTCCAGCTATGATGGCGCCCAGTATTCCCACCAGAACCAATGTAAGACCAATGCGGCCGGCATCTTCTTCACAGTTCTATAATGTGAAACAGACTAAACCTGTTTTATAAACGATGATATGTTTGTCACTTTTAAGTGTTCGACAAATTACTGCATTGTATGATATTAAGATAATCATGTGAATGTCAAAAATAAGACGATATATTAAATAAATATAGTTTTAAGACCTTTGTTTTTGGAAGTAAAGAACGAGTCTTTTCGACAAATATTCTTGCTTGTGCAGCTATGATTTATCATAACTAGGTTTATCATTTTTGTAAAGAAAAATATCAAAAGTTGAAACTAGAAAACAATTTACCTCACAATATCGAAGTACCAATGGATTGAGTAACGTGCTAATTGCATAATAGGTGCCTGCATTCATACCTTTGGGAGAATGAGAATTGGAATCTCAACACACTAGCAGAATGTACTCAGTTTTTAAAACTGGTTGCATAATTGGGACCAATATTAGTTTATTTAATTTATAATATAGAAATATTTCATAAAAACTAATACTTGTGTTCAGGAATATAGCTAAAATTTGTTATTTAATAATTACGCCCATTAAAAATAAATATAAAAAAACGTTAATAGAAAAGGTGTTCTGGCGTCGTTAACAAATTGATAGCATCGAGGAATAGAACGTGCTCCTCTTACCATAGGTGACCATTAGTAACATGAAACCTTTGTTCTTCACCAAACGCAGTAGAGACTCAGTGTATTTTTCCTCTGCTGCCTGCCTCACAATAACAGCTTGGGCTACACTAGGAGGCACATGCGGTTCTTTCCTAAATACTGGTAGAAAAAAAACATTCCCATAACTCCCCTTCCTACGTTGTAATATTTTATATACTTAATTTCTCTTTCCTTGTTTTCAGTGCATGTATGATACTATTTTTGGAACTCATGTAATTGATTACCAATTAATGTTTAAGTCAAGTAAATGATGAAGACTGATAAAACTGCATTAAGCGATGAATTAAGTCCAACGAAGACAGCAAACAAATTATTTGAAGAAGAAAGAGAAAATAACACACCTATCAGTACCGATATGAATATTGCCGATGTTACCCCCGCTGAAGAGTACAGCATAACACTGAGATCCTGTCCTACCAGATCCAGGTCGTCGTGGTTCTTCACTATCACAGGGGGCAGCAAGAAACCTAGGGCACCACCCACCTGAGGAAAATAATGTTATCGTCATTTTACATGTAGCTATTTCAGAGACATTGGAATTACAGGTGTAATATGCCACAGCGCATACAGTGTATACACGCAGATAAAGATAGCGCTGGCAAAAGTTCAGCGTATATGTAGGGGAGACCGGGGCTAGTTGGCCCAGTTAGACACTTTCGGCCTTGTAGAGCCAACTAGGAATGAGTAAGAGTAACAAAATCGGTTTCAAAGTAAGCCCCATGAACTAAGCTACGTATGCAACTTTATTATGTTTCAAATATAATGCCAGATGACTCACAATTTGACAAAAAACGCAATTGACGTCAGGGGGGCCAACTTGCCCCGCCACGGGGCAAGTTGACCCCAGGGTCGGGGCAAGTTGGCACCCTATACGAAAATGAAGTAAGTATCCCATGTAAACG